AGCAGTTTCTAATTCTAGCAGTTTCTAATCATCCACTGAGTTTCTAAGCAAAATGTTCTTTTTTTAATTTATGAAAATTGTATTTTCTCCCCCAGCTCTGCGTTGTCATTTTTATTTTATTTTTTGAGAGTAGTCAAGTGCAGCAGTGAGAAGTGGGGGAGTAGAACAAGGAGTCCAAGCTGTCCCTTACCATGAACAACCGAGATAACGCACCACCTTCTGACCAGCTGGTCTCATCATTTTTGATAGCCTTTTATTGGTGCACTGGGTTTTCGAAGTCCTCTTTGTTGCTTTTTTTTTTTCAACTGGAGTCTCACTCTGTCACCCAGACTGGAGGGCAGTGGTACACTCATGGCCACCGCAGCCTCGACCTGCTGGGCTCAGGTGATCCTTCTGCCTCAGCCTTCTAAGTAGCTGGAACTACAGACGTACGGCACCACACCCGGCTTATTTTTTTATTTATTGTAGAGATGAAGTCTCATCAAGTTGCCCAGGCTGGTCTCGAACCCCTGAGCTCAGGCAATCCTCTCACCTTGGCCTCCCAAAGTGCTGGGACTACATTTGAGTTACTGCTTCTGGCCCCACTTGAGATCTTTAGAGAGAGGGTAACTTCCACAAGGACCCCAAGCTCCTGGGGCCCAGTCAGCCACCCTGCAGTTAGCTGTGCTTTCTGGGATGTGTGACATAAAACCCATTTCCACCCATCTGGGACCTGGCCCAGAGCCTCTGAGTCCCAGGGCCTTGGCTAACCAGCAGGTGGCTCGGGTAGCCTGATGTACTCGCCTTGCTTCCTCCTCCCATCCTCGGGCGTGGAGGATCCTTTCTATTCTGATTACTGGATCATCCTTCCTCGAGATCTTTCCAAGGTTAGAAAACTGCCATCGGCCTGACCCCTGCCTAATGGTGTAGTTCATGGCACTGGTTCTCCGTTCCTGCTTCTCTCCCTGCTGTGCACCAGTGGTCAGCTCCGACCCCCTCCCAGCATGTCCAGCAGATCACGAACCACCCTGGGCCGGCTTTTGTCCTCTGCCAGCCATTGCCCCTTGCCAGGGGCTCGCTCCCACAGCGAGGCTGGGGTAGAGCCCCCGAGCCGGGAGGCCCCATCCTCACCTCCTGAACCAGACTCTACCCAGAGGCCCCAGGGACTCCGGGGCTTGGCATCGGCAAAGTGGGAATGTGGCAGGTGGACACGTGCTAGCCAGGGCCGACACCTGCTCACTCATGAGAGCAGGAGGGCGGGAGGG